ATATATTCCTATGCTGGAGCATACCTTGAGGTTTGTTTTTGTTTTGTGGAATATAATTGAATGGTAACATGCTGAAATTATCCATACCTGGAAATATCTTTGTTGTTATCACATGTACCTGGCAACCCTATTAGACAGAAGCGTGAATATCTTCAATTATACCACATTGTTCTCAATACTTGGTACTGTGGTTCATTTGCTTGCTGGTGTTTGACATGGTAGGTGTCCACGGCCAGCTTGAATTTTTGTTACTTTAAAACCAACATGTTTTATTTTCCCAAAGTTTTTCAAGTTTCTTAAAAATTCTTTTTTTGGAATAAAAACGTGCAACAGCATATGTCAGATGTTTCATTATTTTTTTTTCTGGTTTTATTTGGTCCCTTTTCACCTGTTTATATGGGTCTTTTTTTAATCTAGGAAAACTTATTTTAATTAAAACCACTTGTGTTTGTTTATTTCCTGTGGAAGCCCAGTCATAGGTAAATAAGAACTTATATCCATTACTCATATTTCCCATATTTTTCTTCCTTTATACTTATTGCTCATATATTTGGAGAATGGAGGTGGTTTTTTCAGAGATCCAGGTTAAATTCCCGGTAGAATCTTCTAGCTCCATTCCAACAGAAGGAGGACAGTTTTGCAAAGTTTCAGTTGCTCTCATTTTACTTTCTCAGGCCAGAGTCCTAACAGTTGAGAGATAGCCAGGCCTCTGGAGGTGAGACTCAGAATTGGAGGCAGTCCGAGTGAGAAATGTATTTGGCTGAAGAACATCCAAGCCTTATTTGGAATAGCAGTGAGGGCTTGCTCCTGCCCTCTCCCCATTGTGTAGCGGATGGGCTGTTCATGGTGTGTAGGTGACTGGCGGGCCCTTTGGGTTAGCCCTGGGTGCTGGTGTAGCCTCTTAAATCCAGAACACTCCCCACAGAGGTTCACAAGACTGATCCTTACCTCCAAGCCCTCAGAGACACCTGCTGATTTTGTTTGCGTTTTCCCCCATGAATCAGGTTAGATATTCCCCTCAATCTAATCTCATCTGTATTTTAAATCATAGAAATTATTTTCATATAATTCATTCCCTTGCCTACTTGCTAAGGTTGATCGAGAATTTTTACTATTTTTGGTCATTTTAATAAACATTGGGAAAAGAGTAGTTTATGCCTTGCAAAAAGTCAAACCATTCTGCTGTGTAAGAAAACTTAGGATATTTTGGAAGATGAGGACAAATTACATAAACCAAGAGGAAATGAAGACTTAACTTGATACCAGTTGTCTAAATGTCCAGCCAGAATTATTTTCATTTTGTTAACCATGTTGATCAAGGTCACCAAAGAACAACAATGATAATAATTAAAATAATTGCCTTTTAAAAAAACATTAATGTGAGGCTGAGGATAAGGTCAGTGGCCTAAGTGCCTGCCTGGTATGTGTAAGGTACTGAGTTTGATCCCCGGTACCTAACAACAACAACAACAACAATGTATTTTATATTAACTTTGTTTGATGTTTAGGTCAACTGTGGAATTTTGTCATCAGCTTCCTATCTTATAGATTACATTCAGAAAAGTTAAATTATATTGACTTAGTATGGCATATGTGTTATGGTGTAAAGTGGGATTCAACCCAAGTTTGTTTTCAGAGTTTCTACTCATCTTTGCTGGCTGTCAAACAGTTGAAAGAGTTCTCTGAACTCTAGCTCTCCCTGACACTTACGCTGTTCCCAGTTATTGTACTTTGAACATCTGCAGGCATTTTATTGCCCTCATATATACTAAGTCCTCTGTGTACATAATGTTCCTATAATAAGAACACTTGTTTTATTATTTCTCCTGGACTACCTAGAATGCCTCTGCTTATCATCCATCCTTGTTTTAAAAAGCATAGGATGCTTCTCCTTACCACAGGGATTCTTCCTATGCAGTAAAATGGTTTACGTTCATCTAGTTATGTGGCAATCTTCTCTGGCAGTTGTGGTGGTTTGAATCTTATCTGTCTTGAAATATCCCTGGACTGTGGTCTGCTTTTCTGTAGGGCCAGTGCTGGACAAAGTGCCAGAAGGCAGCAAAATTTTAAGAGGTGCTGGGTGAGAGTGCTGCTGGCCACACTTTACTGTATCTAGTTAATACAAAAATAAATAAAATTCGGGGGCCGGGGAGATGGCTCAGTGGAATAAGTGCTTGCCTGGCAAGCAAGGGGGCCTGAGTCCAATCCCTGGTTCTGCCAAAATAATAATAATAATAATAATTTTAAGAAAACAAAAAATCATTCATCGTTTAGCACCTCAGAGATAGACAATGGCTAGAAAGTTTAGGGAATAATTAGGTCTGGCTGCTTAGAAATTTGTTCTTTTGTAACAATGGGAAAAATGTGTTATTTATTTTATATCTTATTCATTTGGTCCACAATTATTTTCCTTTCAGATATATTGGGGCAATTAAGAATCGCTAATGAGTATAAAACATGTGTCCCCCTAATTGTACAATTATTCTTTACTTCCACAAATCTAATGAAACCGTATCTTTTCTTCCCCTTAGGTTACGGTCTTTGGTCAAACAGTTAGAGAGAGGGGAGGCTTCAGTGGTAGATCTTAAGAAGAATCTGGAATATGCAGCCACAGTGCTTGAATCTGTATATATTGATGAAACCAGGTGAGCTAAAAAATGACAAGAAAGATAAGTAAATGGATGCTACATTTTCTGTTAAATAGCATATTTTTATCTTTGTGGTATATAATGTTTACATTCATTGCATAGAATTGGTATATGTACATAACATATTTTAATTCCTTTTTTAACCCCTACCTCTTCCTCCTCAACCTTGTCCCGTCTCTTGGTCCACTTCCCATTTGAGAAAGATTTATCTCTCTGCTTCCTATAATCTATGTTTTACTTTGCTCTTTATAATTCGGCCTTCTCACAGAAGAGAGACCATGAGCTATTTAAAATAGCTTTTGAAGCTGTCTCCCCAGGCAATTAAGAAGTATAGTTCAAATTAGCAGCTTGAAATACAGCTTGCCATAAATAAATAGAATGGATTTGAACAAGTCACAGCCCCTGTGTACATCCTTATCTATAAAAAAGCTAATAAAACTTATCTCCCATGACCATTAGGACAATGAAGTGAGGTCATGTAACAGAAAAAGTAATCTTAACAGTTTGGGTAAGAGTTTCTCAGATAGAGGATTCATTAATTATTACATACTGATATGGTCAGTCTAAAAATTTGTGTTCATTTTAATTCAGAATGCCCTTAAATACCTTGAGGCTTCCGAAATGTTCCAGAACCATGTGTCTCAGTATTCTCAGTGAGCATGTGTATGTTAGTGATTTTCTCAGTCAGTTGAATTATCTGAAAGGATTAAGGTAGTTCCTTGTATTAAGAATGTATTTCAAAGTAACAAACTTGTTTTTTTCTTTTGAAAAATGTTGAAATGTTGAACAGGAAAGTTTTTTTAATTCAAAAAGCCTTCTCTGCCATTATTTCTGTTTCATTTCCTTTGCCCATTTCCAATATGGAAGGTTTCGCTGTAACCTGAGGATGATATTGCTTTTGTAATGATGTGATTTGTTTCTAATTTAAGGAAATTGGATATGACAGTTTGTAGTAGTCAGTTTCTTGCTGCTGGTAGAAAAACATCGACACCCACAATTTAAAGAAAGAAAGGTTTGTTTTGCATCACAGTTTCAGTGAGTTTAGTCAGTGGTAGACCAGATCCAAACCAGAAAATGCACAAAGGTAAGGCCCCACAGAGAAAGTGCTTCCAACATGGCAGCTATGAGAAAGAGCTAGGGGAGGAGGTGTACCCTGCCAGGTTATGCCTCAGGGATGAGTCTAGATCTAAACCAGAACATTCTGGTGAGCTTATGTAAAACTATAAAAAGAAAATTAAACACTTTTAACATACAATGGAACAAGATAAATATTTCACTTTCAAAAGGGAGGACTAGGGGAAAAGACACAAATCAGACCAAAAGAAGACTCGGACCAGCAGGGAGAAATTAAATCCTGTAGCTCCATGTCCAGCACTGAGGATATAGTATGTGAGACATGAGCTCAAATGGGCTTAGAAAGCTGCACGTTTATGGTATTGTCAGTGGCAGCCCACATACATTTTCTCTTGGACTTGCTCCAATTAATTCCTGCAGCTTGTCTAGGCAGATGATCCGTATTCCTAATATCTTCAAATTTTTGAGGACTCCAGAGCACCTTGGCCCCACTCTCACATCTTCCTGCATCACCCTGATCAGGAGTACCCACCAGGGACTAGGACCCTATCATATATTTTTGGATGGCTTCCCAGGTCATCTTTTGAAACCTTGGTAACTACCTCTGTGATCCCTTAACTCTTGCATTCTACGTGAAAGAAAAACCAGAACTAACCAAGCGTAATGTGAAGGTCTCCTAGCTTGAGTAGTGGCCTGGCCCTGAGGACTGTAGCTGCAACAGCCTCAGTCCTTGGATGGTTGCGTTTAGAGGTTCACCTTCTTAGGTGATCCTGCATGAACTATGCACCCTGAATCTGTCCTCTCAAAGCTAAGTCTTCTTCTTTTACATCCTTAAGCCCATGAATGAGTCTGGCCAGTTTCTGAGATGCCTGGAAGCCATCTTCTCTGTTGTCCTGATGCAAAGTGTTTGGCTTCTTTTTAATACTAATGATTCTAGCAGCTAAGTTTTCCTAACCTCTAACTTTACAAGAGCTTCCTCTGTGGCCACCACCAATTATTTTTCAATTATTCAGCTTTGACTTTTGACACTCATCTCATTGTAGATCTGGCTAAAGGCAGCCAGTGGTCCTCATCCCTCAGCTTCCACATGGGACTGCCTTGAAATTTCCTCATCTAGATTAGTGAGCTGCCCATAATCTCAGCATCCTGCAGAATCTCAGGATATGTTGACAGTATTTCTGCTGGAGCATAACACAGCTGGACTCTAGCTCAACTGCCAGGAATCCTTGTTCCGAACAGAAAGCTCCAGAGCTTAGCCTTTACTCTCTACATTCCTGTCAGTTTTCTGGTATTTTGAACACCGACCAGAATCACACATCATCCATTTCTCCAAATATTCTATGGCTTCTTTAGCCCATGTCTTCAAAAGTTCCCAAACTCTTCCTGTGAACAAACCCCGAAGGTTTCCAAACTCTTCCTGTGAACCACCCCCAAAGGTTTCTAAACCACATGGTTAGGTAGTCACAGCAGTGGCCACCTCTGGTTACTAATTTCTGACTTAGTCCCTTTTCTGTCACTGAGACAAAGTAGCCAAAATCTGAAGCTTAAAGAAGGAGAGCTTTATTTCGGTTCAGAGTGCTGGTCTAGGGTGGCTGTCTCCAAGGCATGGTAGAAAGGCATTTTGGAGGAAACTACTGAGCACATCATGTTCAGCACATGTTTGGGAAGGAGGGAAGCAGACAGACAGACAGACAGACAGACAGACAGACAGACAGACAGACAGACAGAGAAACAGAGAGCGGCAGAGACAGAGAGACAGAGAGAAAGAAGGAGAAAGAATGAGTCTGAGAACACCCTCTTCTAAAAGCACAGTCCCAGTGACCTAACCCTTCTGATCAGGCCTGCCCTCTGACCTTTGGTTACATTTTAGATCTAAATTATAGCACATTTCTTTCCAAAAGTTATATTCACACCCCTTCCTCTCAATTTATAAATTTTAAGAATCTCTGTCTCTCTGTCTCTGTCTCTCTCTCTCTCTCTCTCTCTCTCTCTCTCTCTCTCTCTCACACACACACACACACACACACACACACACACAGATTTACTTTTCATTTTTAGTAGGGTTTAATGTAAGTATAAAATTCAACTTTAGATTTTATTATAGCATAACTCTTTTATGTTCCTTTCTAGTGGTCTGACTTATGACAAATTTGATAAATAGATTAAATAGCTTAAATCATTGTTCCAAGAAACTGCATTTTGAAATTTTGTTTGAATTTAGAAATGCATTCTTTTATATTCTATTAAATCAGACTGAATATCAGTTTATCATTAATTAAAATCATTATGTCAGATAACTGGTTTGTTGTAAGTTGGGTAATATGTTGTGTGGTCTTTAAGTGTTCATTATCTTAGAATAAAATAATACCACATGATGCATATATGAAATTACTTAAGCCTCTTTGGAAAGTATTTTTGAAGGAAAATTTTAAGTTTCACTAAAATTCTATTGGCCTTCAAGAAGTAAGGATACTGGAAACTCTTGTTGCCCAGCAAGACTAAAGTGGGGTGTGTTTGACTCCTCCCTTTGCTCCTTTGCTCAGTGTGTTAGTTGGATTTCCATCGTGTAACAAATATCCGTGGTGATCAACTTATATAGAGGAAAGATTTACTTTAGCTCTGGTCCTTAAAAGCCTAATCCATTATGCCTATTTCTTCTGAACCTGCGACAAAGCAGCACGTCATGGTGGAAGCAGGTGGTGGAGCCAAGCTGCTCAACCTCTGGTTGGGAAAGAAGGGAGAGAAAGAAGAGGGGTTAAGCCCATGGTCCTTTCCAAGGGCACGTCCCTAATAGCCTGAAAGTCTCCTACTAATTCCCAACCCTTGAGTTTTCTTCCAACAGTGCCACTGACTAAGGACAGAGCTTTGAGTTAACAAGCCTTCAGAGCTCATTCTAGATTCAAACCGTGACATTCTATTGTAGTCAAGTTAAAGTGATGCTGTCTGATGTTGTGGTCAGCTGACTTCGGTTTCTTTGCGCCTGTGTGTGCACTGGGTAGAGGAGGAGTAGTTGTTATGAAGAGAGGGCTCTCACTTCGTTTTGGTCTAAGAATCCTGGTGATGTTTCTTCTGCTCAGGCGACTTCTGGATACTGAAGATGAGCTCAGTGACATTCAGTCAGATGCTGTGCCTTCTGAGGTCCGAGACTGGCTGGCCTCCACCTTCACACGGCAGATGGGGATGATGCTCAGGAGGAGTGAGGAGAAGCCGAGGTTCAAGAGCATTGTCCATGCGGTTCAGGCTGGGATATTTGTGGAGAGGTAAAGATGCCATTCAGTGACGGGAGCCAATAGCTGTAACATATGTGTCAGCGTGGTTTTGATGTCTTTAAAAGCATGGAAAATTCTAGAAGGAAGCGTCTTTACTGGGAAATGACAAAACTATATTTAAACCTCTATAGTATTGTTAGGAGAAACCTTTTCCTTTGCTTAAATTCTTTTTGTTAACCAGATAGGATTTAGTTTGAGTTTATTCCTTACTTATTTTAGAAGGAAAATCATCTGTTCCATCATCGTTTGAAATTTGTGGAGTGTCTACATTCAGAATAGGACAGGGCTATGTAGAACTGATTCAGGGAGGATAGTTTAAGGGTATGAGTTCCCATGACACTTCAATTTTGTTAGCCCTTTTAGTTGAATTATCTTCTACCACAGAAATACATTTATTTTTTTTCCTGTAATTCCCATTGTGCTCAATTGCTTGTTTTTGAAATTCTGTGGTGAGTTCCAAGTTCACATGGGACATTTTCTTGCTTATTTTTAATAGTTCTGAAATGGGTCAGGCACTGGTGTTCTTCATTCAGGTTTATGTATACTGGGTCTACTGTAGTATAATTATTTTGCTCAGAACAGATGACCCATTTTAATAATTTAATTTTCAACCTGGGGCACACAGACTTTAACTTTTCCCCAGTGATTCACGTGTTTGGGGTTGCTTTAATTTGTTTTGAATTTAACACTGAGACCACATGAGTCACTTTGGAAATGTCACAGAAGGAATTTAAATAGCTTGGGTCCCCAAACATTCTGATTTCTCATTATTCATTAATGGTTTTGTGTAAGTCTGGGATTTGTAATCCTGTTTTATAAGATACCATTTTGCATTTCTCTTTCCGACTTTGCCAGAATGTATAGACGGACATCAAACATGGTTGGACTGAGCTATCCCCCAGCTGTTATTGAAGCATTGAAGGTAATACCAGTAGCAGGTTATACAAGGTGCATGTCACCCCTTAAAAATCATCAGTAAATTTGTTAGAAGTATAAGAGGCTTCCTTTAAAGTTATTTTTTCCAATTATTTTTTCTTTCATCTCTCTAGTTTTTTTTTTTAACTCATATTATGAATGAATTTTGGTTCTTTTAGTTCCACTAGACTTACTTGGTTTTTTTCAGTGATCTAGCTTTGTAAAGTTTGCCTGACTTTAGCCATAAAAATCAAATGTTTTGACAAAAGTATTCACTGCTAGTAGGATCCTTGGTGAGTATAATTCTATCATTATCTGACTACATTCTCCAAATCCATTATATAAATGAAGAATCTAAGATGTAACATTTTAAAAATTAGTAGAGATAAAGCTAATGCTTGATAGCAGTTTATAATACTCAATGAGCTCTGAGTAGTATTTTGTTAATGAATGTGTGTCCGCCAAACCCTTGTTCCTTCCGTGTATCTGTATACTTCCCTACACATGTTTTCTAAAGACTCACAATGAGGTAAGTATTCCATGGGAAGTCCTACAAATATTTGCAAATACCCTAAATCTTATAGAATTATTCCCAAGCAGTTGTTGATTCAAATCCACATGTCTGAGACAGCTACACACATCCTATACATGCTTTGACTCTGGATTCCCAGATGGGGCTGGCCTTGGGCCCAGGGTCATTGGGTTGGTTGACTTTTAATCAAGTATACCACAGAGCTGGCCCATTTTTTTCAGGGAAGTCATAGAATTCTGACCTCTGCTGAAGCCATTGTCTTTCTCTGAAACCTCACAAAATATTACCTATAATATTTCCAGAAGCCTAATTAGTTGTTCATGGAATTGGGGGGCAATACTACTTCTTAATTAATTTAACACAAAGAAAAAGACCCCTAGGACCATGTTGATTATATATGCATAGTTCTTCTTATCTCAGTTGTATTCAGTAGGTGAATTTGTGATACATATGCAGATATCTATGTGTGTGCATGTGTGTGTGTATGTGTGTTTGTGGTGCATCCACATTTCTCATTTTTCTGTCCCTATATTTTCAGTCTTTTCTCAACTCCTCTAAAAACAGAAAGGATACATCAGTGGCCATGTGTTTTCTCTCACTCCTTCCTAAGCTGCACTCTAATGTCTAACACATCAGTGTAACTTACAATATTTCCCATTTAATCAACGGTCTCACTCCATGAGAGCTATTTAATAACATCTCCTCTGAAATTACATTGATTTTTATAATTAAACCTGAAGTATTCAGTGAAAGCTTTAAGAACATTACAGGAAGATTTTAATTTGCAATTGATTCCTTTCTCATGAACAAAAACACAGGTCAAGGTCGGGATAGGGACACAGAGACATTTGTGAGAATGTTGCTTCCAAATTGAAACCTCTTCTATGCAGAGTAACTGGTGAGGGGAGAGAGCTGAGCAAGAACTGGGGACAACCTGTGATATACAAGCTTTGTTATTTTATACTTAAGGAAGAGAAATTCTCAGTGGCTTGCAGGTTTTTCTCAGAGGCAGGGCACTTAAACTCTTCAGACGAGGAAGAACTAACTGCTCTTGTCTGCATGTGTTCCTCATGTGTGTATGAAGGTGAAGACTGATGTTTCTCTTGGCTCTGGGCCCTGGCCACTGGGAAAGTCCAAAGGCTTTTACCGTGCTAAATTTTTCTAGTTCCCCAACCTCCTGTTTTCTTTGCAGTGGTTCAGTGGTGAGTTGGAGAGAATACAGTGATAGGTTCCCCCTTTCTTTCTTTTTTTGAATAGAGCCTGTTGGAAAACAGGTTATTTCCACTTTGCTACCAGAGGAATCACTACTGTTTTTTTTTTTTTTTTTTGTATTACAGAAAATTTCCCTAAAGACTGAGAGGCTATAATTCACTAAAATAACCATTATGCCACTGTCACCCTAACTTTTGCAGCTCATACAAGCAAATGGTATAAAATGACATTGAAGGAAGAAAATAATTAAGCACCACTCAGCTCCAAGTTTGAATTAGGTTGAATTTATTCTTTTTATTTTTCCCCAGTCAATAGTATCAGCTTCTGGGCTGGAGAGATGGCTCAGTGGTCTAAAGCACCTACTTAGAACAAGCTTGGCAAAGCATCAGGGACTGCGGTTCAATCCCCCAGCACCACATGCCAGCCAGCCCCGCCCCCTGGTGGGCTGAGCTGGCCACACACACACACCACTCTCTCTCTCTCTCTCTCTCTCTCTCTCTCTCTCTCTCTCAAATAAATAAAAAAAATTAAAAAAAAATAGTATCAGCTTCTATTTCGAGGTATTTTACCTCTGACCTTCTAGGGTGTGGTTACTGGAAGTACTCTTGCAAAGGGCAGCTGTCTGTGACTCAGGAAGTGACACTATGGACAAGCTCCAGGTGTAAAGTGGGAGGAAGGGGGAGACTCAGGCCTCCCTCAGGCTGCGCTACCAGAGGCTCTCACTGTTTCTCCTCAGCACTGAGATTTCCTAAAGAAGAAGAATGGCTAAGGCAGTTCAATGAGTGCTTATTAATAGTGCAAGATTCTGGGCCCAGGATTCCTGATAGTCCTATGTCTCCATCCCTCCTAAGCTCTAGACAAGGTTTTCCAGTAAGTCTCCTGTATGATTTGGAAAAGCAATGAAATTTGATAACTATAGTTACGGCTTCCATAAAACAGGGGCCAAGGAGAATGTCTACCTTGCTGTATTTATTCACGCTCTTACTTCTTGGAGTACTGATATCCAGAGTAGATTTCAACTTTTTATCAGGATAATGTCTTTACTTCCACTGGGAGAGAGATTTACTTTTCTACATGCTGGAAAATAAGGTTAAAAATTGCCAGATATGACAAAGCATTGAGTTGTCAGTGGTCTTTTTCTCAGGACAGAGGATCTGACAATGGCTCTGACTCATTTTAGTACCAGTTATGGTAGCCAAGGTAAAGCTTCAGGTCTCCAATAGTTATTAAGTGGCTTTGCTGCTTCTCTTTCTAGGCCCACCTGGAAATTTAGCAAATGATGCCTGGGTCTCAGCACAAGTTTCTAGAGCCTACAGTGTCATGTTGTGGCCTTCTAGTGGGGTTATTGACATTGGCTAAAAGCCAATATAAGATAGAAATCGTGTACTGTCTAGCTATGATAAAAATCAGATTTTAGTAGCAAATGCTATGTGGGACTCTAAGACTGGAAAACAAAACATTTGAGGATGGAAAATGTGTTGAAGTCTTGCGCTGTACAATCGCAAAGACTCACAAAAAGTGAGTCTTACAAAAGTGAGGCTCACAAAAAGTGAGGTGATAATTGTTAGGTATGTGACTGCAAGCTAACACATTCCTTCTTCCTGCCCTGTCCTGCAGGACGTGGACAATTGGTCCTTCGATGTCTTTTCCCTCAACGAAGCCAGTGGGGATCATGCACTGAAGTTCATTTTCTATGAATTACTTACACGCTATGATCTAATCAGCCGTTTTAAGGTCAGTAGCTCATTAAAAAGATAAGTTAGCAGTACACATTTGTCCATCCTTACGTGATTTGGGAGTAAGTCAAAGAGCATCTACCTACGATCTACCTCCCTACCTTCCTACCTACCTACCTCTCTGTTTGTTTCTGTGTGGGACTAGAGATTGAGTCCAGGACCTTCACACTGAGCTACATCCCCAGCCTTTTTTTGCTTTCATTGTAACACAGGATCTTGCTCAGTTGTCCAGGCTGGACTCAAACTTGCAGTCATTCTGCGTCAGCCTCCCAGAGTCTAGGGATTTCCAGTGTGCACTACCACACCACATTTGAGAATCCCAGTTTAAAGAGACTTGGTCCAGTCCTTCTCTGTCGACCAAAAACTGCTCCAGGTTACTTAGAAAGTCTGTTTTACGGCTCTTCTGTGGCTGTGCATTTGTTCTTGAGGCTTTCATTCACTCCGTGGCTGGGGTGTCTCACTGACAAGGAGAGGGAAGAGCTCATTTGGATCGCAGTTTCCCTGGAATTAGAGCCCAGAGCCTGCAGTGACTGCTTCCTGGAAGGCACTGCCCACAGCCTTGCTTCAGCATCACATTGTGCTATTGACCACTGCTGTCCGAGAGGTGGTAATGGAGACAAAGTGAGCCTCTGTGCCTCTGGAAACTTCTTTCCCAGCTGTTGGCTCACTCAGCAAATACTCTCACTTAACAACAGCGACAGACCATTGCTGTTTCCCAGCTTATTGTGCTTCAAATTAATTCCTCACTTTACATAAAGACCATAAAGTGTCTCCGGCATTCAGCTCTTGCATATCCTGAACTTCGGAGGTCAGGCCAGGTTCTCGAGGAAAGCTGCCCATTCATGGGCCAGCATCGTGCCGGTTGAGCACTTTAGGCTTTCTGCCTCTGATGGATGAGCCCCTGGCACATGCACTCATCTGTGCAGCACACCGATTGCTCTGGGTAGTGTGGTTCTTCATCACTATCCTAAAGGCTGCATAGTGAGTGTATTTCTTTCACATCCATGAATACTTCATAGCAGTGGCCCTTGGGTCCTTCATTTGTTTTGTGTCAGAAACCTTCATGAAAGGCCGGAGGATGCAGGAAACCCTTTCCTTAGGGAGGAAAAGGCTCTGTTCTTATGCAGAATTTTGCTTAGCTTTGCACTGGCTCATTCCTCTTCAAAGGACAACTCAACAGCCTGAGGTTCCTTTTGTGGAATGCGAGAGATTGATCCTGGGGCTTTTGCATTGAGCTACAGCCCTACTCCTTTTTATACTTAGTATTTTGAAACAGAGTCTCCTTAAATGTCCCAGCCTAGGCTGAACCCTGGAAGGCTCCTACCTCAGTCTCCCAAAGCACTGAGATTAGTAGATATGTGCCACCGTATCTAGCTAGGATCTTCATCTTAAAAACTAATGATGAGTTCATTTCTTAATAGCTAAATTTAAAATTTTAGAATTCCACAAATGGTAAGCATAGAAGAATGCAGAAAAGAATTATAGAATTATCGAGTCTTGGATGTGCTATAATCACATTTTCCTAAGTTTTTCTTTCTAATATGGTAGTCTCTGGAATGATACCTTCTAATGTCAAAAGTCCCCTACTTTACTGTAAACTGTGCAGTAACAGTGAATTTTCTAGGTTCTGCTTATTCTGGACATATATCTCACAATAATTCTTAAATTTTACCACATAGGAAGCCAAGTATATTAGACATATCTAAGGTGGAATAGCAAGTAAGACAGTTGGGAAAATTATCCTGAGTTGTTTATTTTTTGCAAAGACTCAGTCTTTTATGTTTTGAGAAATAAATGATTATATACTATGGCCCACATCTTATTTCTTTATGGGAAAACAAAGTACACAAGACTGTTGAATTGAATTATTACAAAACACACACAAGCTGCTACCAGTATTAAAGGCAGTGCTGGCTTTCTGCAGACTGGGTCTTGGCTGTAGGTATATGGCCTCAGGGCTAGAGTGAGGTTATGGGCAGGAGCAAAGGATAACCATCAAAGACCAAAACCCAAGCAAAACATGGTAGTCTGTTGTATATGGGAATAGGAATAGGAATAGGCTATGTTCTTGTGCTTATTAGTCGGCAGTATATTATTGTTAACTTGCAGTCGGGAAGGTCTCATTCTACTGGTGTTTGTGCTGCAAATAGTGAATGATTTCACTAACTGGAAATCATTATTGGTTATTTCAGTGTCAGTCAGTATTGTTTCTGACACTGCATGTTGTGCTGTGCAGCATCTTCTTTCCGCTTCTGACTGTGGAGGAAGAGAAAGGCTAGATGAGGACATCATAGAAACCAATAATGTACTTCCCTGCATGCGCACCAAAATCATTATTTTATATGTAAATAAAAACTATGAGGAGTTGTAACTTCCTTTCCTGATAATTTACGTCCCCAGAAAGGAGCAGTCGCAGTGCCATAGACTTTGCTTCTTCCTGACAGTAACAGTGAAATGTGCCGCTCTCTTTCAGATCCCCATTTCTGCACTTGTCTCGTTCGTGGAGGCGCTGGAAGTGGGATACAGCAAGCATAAAAACCCTTACCATAATTTAATGCATGCTGCTGACGTCACACAGACTGTGCATTATCTACTCTATAAGACAGGAGTAGCGGTAAGTACAGAGAGGTTCTCTCAGATTGCACCAAAACTGTGGCAAACATTTCTGACTCGGAGGCTCAACCGTGAGGAGTGCACCATTCTGTGGCTCCCCACTCTGGGGTCATCTAATCATCTAACCCCTCTGATATGTTCTCCATCCAGGACTGATAAAATAGATACCTGTGACTGGCATTGTGACCAGCTGAAATGCAGCTGTTAGAACTAAGAATGTATTTCCAGAAATGGAGAGGTGGTTTATTGACCCCTTCCTATGGTCAGGAACAGTGCTATTCATACATGTTGAAATTATAGGGGCTGGGGAGGTGCTCAGTGGAATAAGTGCTGCCCTAGCAAGTGCAAGGACCTGAGTTCCACCAAAAATAAATAAATAAAGAAAGAAAGAAAGAAAGAAAAGAAAAGAAAAGAAAAGAAAAGAAAAGAAAAGAAAAGAAGTTATATGGCACAGACTTGACAACCACATTACAAGTTAGCTTTTGACTCAAACTGCTGCTTGGGTCTTTTTTTACAGACACTGGGGCTGTTCACATCCTACCTGTGAGCACTTGGGTTCTCAGCGCATATTTTCTTGTGAGCATTTGGGTTCTCTTCTTGTGTTTAATTATATCAACACTAGAAGTTCAACCTGAGGGTTAAGCTTTATTTCTAATCACCTGAGATTTTTCTTGCTAGTTATGCTCCAGCTGTTTAGATGTTTTGGGATCTCTCTTCTGTAATCCACTTGGTTAATTGACCTGCTCGACTTGGTTAGCTGTCCCTTTGCCTTCTGTGCCTGGTTGTAAGCATTAATTTTATTTTATTTTACTTTTTATTTTTTTGGCGGTACCAGGGATTGGACTCAAGACCTTGCACTTGCTGGGCAGGCGCTTACACTGCTGAGCTGTATCCCCAGCCCCAAAACTTTTTCTTTTTCTTTCTTTTCTTTTCTTTTTTCTTTTCTTTTCTTTTCTTTTCTTTTCTTTTCTTTTCTTTTCTTTTCTTTTTTCCTTTTTTTGTGAAACTTGGGATTGAACTCAGGCCTTTGTGCTTGCCAGGCAAGCTGTTATTCTACTGAGCTATCTCCCTGGCCCTGAATTAATTTTAAAAGGTGTATCTACTAGTGACAGAAACAGATCCCCATGGCTTTTTACTTTGAAATCCCCTTCAGAATTGTCATCAAGATAGATGTTCCTTGGGCATAGTTATCAATTAGCCAGAAACCCGAGACACATCTGTTATCTTTTCTTCTAGGACATGTTGAATGACTCAATTTAATTTTAATATGTCACTGAATGAAATGTATAAGGCAGTGGGAGGAGTATGGGCTTTGGAGCTAGATATAGAAGGTCTAAATCCCTCCTTAATTACTTATTAGATTTTTGAGATCTGTGATAAATTACTTGTGCCTTTGAGCTGAGAATTTCTCATTTGTAAAATAGTGAAAAATAGTCCACCTTATACAAGGGCTTTGACAGGAATAAAGTATTAGAAACTTAAGTACCCTGTCTGCCTCATAAAAGAAGCACGATTATCAGGAATTGTTATTAAAGCGCTGGAAGATTTACCCGAAAGCAATTATCATTTTTTAGTTCTTATTATAAAGCTGACTTCTTAAAATATTATGGAAAATTTTTTTTAATTATATAAATACTAGAAGAGATCTTGTTTCATTTGATAAAGAAAATGAGGACCAGCCAAATAGCTCATTGGGTTAAAGTGCCTGCAAGTAGGTACAGGGGTGCAGGGATTCAATTCCCAGGCCTGCCATGCTGGTCCTACCCGCGGGCACGCTGAGACAGCAACTGAGATTAGGTGTGGTGGTGCACGCCTGTAATCCTAGCTTTTGGGAGGCTGTAAGCAGGAAGATCACTATGAGTCTGATCTAGTAGTGAGACCCTGAACACCCTGTAGACCCCTCCCTAAAATAAAAAAACAAAACAAACAAACAAAAAGAACCTGTTATGGGAAGATACATAGAATAACTGAATCAAATGGAATTTGTCTTCATAGATTTTTAAGGAATCTCCATACTGTTTTCCATGACAGATATGCTAGTTTATATTTCCATAAGCAAGGAAGAATGATTCCATTTTCCCTGAAACCTCTCCAGCTTGCTTGCTTGCTTGCTTATTTACTTATTTATTTATTAGTATTTGGTACAGAGTCTCACTGTGCAGCTTGGACTCATAGTGATCCTCATGTTTTTGGCCTCCCCAGAGCTGGGATTACATGCATGTACCACCATACCCCATCTCAGTGGCTCAGCATGCCTTGGGGTGGGGCAACACAGCATGTGGTGGTGGGGCTAGAACCCAGTCCCTAAGCCTGCCTCAGCAGGCACTTAGTCCACTGAGTTGTCTTGCAGACTCTCGATTGTTATTATTTAATTTATTGGAGATAGTCATTTTTCTGGATTATGATGGAATCTCCATGTTATAATTTGCATTACTATAATGGCCAGACATGTTGAGCGTTGGTCACTTGTACTTCTGAGAAATTATTCATTTCAGCTGCCAGTTTTTTAAATTGTGTCTTTTATTCTTGGGGGAGGGGCTTCTAATTTATTTTAGTTCCTTATATATTCTAGATATTAATCCTCTGTCCAAGGAATAGCTGCCAAAATTCTGTTTCTATTATGTAGTTTACTTCTTTACCCTTGTTTATTTCCTTTGCTGTGCAGAAACTTTTTAACTTGACATGATTCCATTTGTTGGCTCTTGAAGCTATTATTTCCTGCACAGGTAGAGCTCTGTTCAGCATCCCTGCTCATGCCTTTGTTCAACAGTTTTCCATATTGTATCTTCCAGCAGGTCATGTGATTCTGTTTGAACATTTGGGTCTTTGGTCTGCTTTGATTTTAGTTTAGCACCTGGCGAGAGACAGGAGCCTAGATTCAGTCATCTGCATGTGACTAGTCAGCTTTTCCAGCACCATTTGTTAAAGAGGCTATGTTTTCTGTCATCTATTTTTTGACCTCTTTTTTTCAGAGATCAGATAACTGAATGCACGTTGGTTTGTCTCTGC